GCCCCTCCGCACCTCCCCCACCCGCCCCGACCCCGACCCCGACCGACCCCGGCGGAGGGTGCGCCCCCGGGGCCTGCCGCTCTCTGTCGCCCCTTGGCCCAGCCCCGTCGATTTGGGGAACTTGGGAACCCCTGGCGCTGCCCTCCAGACCGCCGAGGGGAAACTGAGGCCCACGCGGGGCCGGCGTCCCCTCACCAGCGTCTCCACACAGACACCATGGCCGAGCCCCTCAAGGAGGAAGACGGCGAGGACGGCTCTGGGGAGCCCCCCGGGCCGGTGAAGGCGGAACCCGCCCACACCGCTGCCTCGGTCGCGGCCAAGAACCTGGCCCTGCTCAAAGCCCGCTCCTTCGACGTGACCTTCGACGTGGGCGACGAGTACGAGATCATCGAGACTATAGGCAACGGGGCCTACGGGGTGGTGTCCTCTGCCCGCCGCCGCCTCACGGGTGAGTGCCCGGTGCCCTCAGCCTCTCACAGAAATGGAAGCTGGGGGAACAGCAGGTGGCGTAATGGCCATGTCGCCGGACTCCCATGTAGTCGACCGCGGTTCGAGTCCCAGACCCGGTGGCTTAAACTTGCGGACACATGTGCGTGCCCAAGATCGAGGAGGACTGAGGAGAGGCGATTGTGGCGTGGCCATCCCCCCTGGAGGGTGATTTCTCGCATTCTGTCTCTCTCTTTCTGGCGAGCACACATGCCCTGTAGCAAAAAGCTCTCCAAGAAAAAAAAAGAAGTGGAAGCTGGTGCCCAGGGGGAGTGGGGGACCTGCCTGTTGCAGACCAGGGGAGGAAGGCTGGGACTGGAGCTGTGGACACCAGGCCCAGCATAGGGCTCAGTTCTCTGAGACTAATGGTTTTGCCGTCCCATTGGCTGACATCCTTAGAACAAGGCAATCCCTACTGGATCAGAATAGAGAGCCCATCCTCAGTGTCTAAAGGAAGTGTGCTCTGGAGCCGGAGGCGAGCACAAGGGGTGGTGGCGGGGTGGGTGAGGTCCGAGAAGGAGAGCGTAGGGAGGTAGGTGAGCACAGGGGTTAGAGTCTAGACTCTACCACTAACTAGCTGTGCACCTCCCAAGAAGTTACTGAGCAAGGTTTCCTCATCTCTAACTTTGAGCTGTTAGACCTGCCGTGTGGAGTAGTTGTGAAGGTACATCTTGACAGTGTATGTAACACACTGAGCACAGGGCTTGGCGCATGGTAGGTACCTACCATAGGGTAGTTGTTGTTACTTGCATCCTAGAAGGGAAGTGTTGAAAGGGTCCTGTCGTGATTCAGCAACTGCTTCAAGATACCCTCTGCTGTCTACCTTTTGCTGCTCCCCAGGCCAGCAGGTGGCCATCAAGAAGATTCCTAATGCTTTTGATGTGGTGACCAATGCCAAGCGGACCCTCAGGGAGCTGAAGATCCTTAAACACTTCAAACATGACAACATCATTGCTATCAAGGACATCCTGAGGCCCACAGTGCCCTACGGAGAGTTCAAATCTGTGTAAGGAGTGGGATGGGGGGGGCTTTTTCCTTTTTTTTAATTGTTTTTTTGCCATTGGGCATGTGTGCTCAGTGGAAAGAGAGAGAGAAAGTGAGAAATAAAACCCCTTTTCTCATTAGAGGATGGCCATGCTGCAATCTCTGCTCCATTCTCCTTTTGGGATTTTAGGCACACATGCACACGTGCCCAGTGTGGTTTTCAAGCCACCGAATCTGGGGCTCAGATATGGTAAGTGATGTGGTAATCCAGTACCTTAAGCACCACACCACTTGCTGGCCCTGAAGCTTTTTCTTTAAGCTGGGCTATTTTGCTGAAGTTCTAGAAAGGCAGCTGAACTTAATGTAAGGCAGGTTGGGAAAATTCCCCCAGTTTCAGGACCAGTGGTCCTTTAGGGCATTGCCAGAGACAGATATTATTTTTTGAAGAGGCAGATGTTAAAATTGTGTAGAATCTTAGTATATAGGATTTCAAATACAGAACACTCAAAGTACCTCTGCACCTTACTCCCCTAGCAGATAACACTAATTGATCACAGAACACTTTCCTTTTAAAAATAGCCTTCACAATATAGTCTTTTAAACATTACCAGACAGTGGACATAGCCCCCAAACGAAACCTATTGGCCAGCCCTGTTGTAGTCCAACCCCACCTTTTATCTGATGGGGAAACTAGGTCTGGAGAGAAAAGTGATTTAACCAAGTTCATGGAAAAGTCGTAGAGAATCTAGAACCTGCTCTTCTTCCATATGGTGCTGCCAACCCCTGTGGGGTTCAAGGGTAAGGCCATTACCTGTTTGGAGTTGGGAGGTCATGGTGAGGATGGGGCTTGTCCTGGAGTCTGAGCAGGCCAGCTCATGCCTCTTCTCTCCTTCCAGCTATGTGGTCCTAGACCTGATGGAGAGCGACCTACACCAGATCATCCACTCCTCACAGCCACTCACACTGGAGCACGTGCGCTACTTCCTGTACCAGCTGCTGCGGGGCCTCAAGTACATGCACTCGGCTCAGGTCATCCACCGTGACCTCAAGCCCTCTAACCTGTTGGTGAATGAAAACTGTGAGCTCAAGATTGGTGACTTTGGTATGGCCCGCGGCCTGTGCACCTCGCCCGCTGAGCACCAGTACTTCATGACCGAGTATGTGGCCACGCGCTGGTACCGTGCCCCCGAGCTCATGCTCTCTCTGCATGAGTATACGCAAGCTATTGATCTCTGGTCTGTGGGCTGCATCTTTGGCGAGATGTTGGCCCGGCGCCAGCTCTTCCCAGGCAAAAACTATGTGCACCAGCTACAGTTGATCATGATGGTGCTGGGTACCCCATCGCCTGCTGTGATTCAGGCTGTGGGGGCCGAGAGGGTGCGAGCTTATATCCAGAGCCTGCCACCACGCCAGCCTGTGCCTTGGGAGACGGTGTACCCAGGCGCCGACCGCCAAGCCCTCTCATTGTTGGGCCGCATGCTGCGTTTCGAGCCCAGTGGCCGCATTTCAGCAGCTGCTGCCCTTCGCCATCCCTTCCTGGCCAAGTACCATGATCCTGATGATGAGCCTGACTGTGCCCCACCCTTTGACTTTGCCTTTGACCGTGAAGCTCTCACTCGGGAGCGCATTAAAGAGGCCATCGTGGCCGAGATCGAGGACTTCCATGCACGCCGTGAAGGCATCCGCCAACAGATCCGCTTTCAGCCTTCCCTGCAGCCTGTGGCCAGTGAGCCCGACTGTCCAGACGTTGAGATGCCCAGTCCCTGGGCTCCCAGTGGGGATTGTGCCATGGAGTCACCCCCACCAGCCCCACCTCCGTGCCCTGGCCCTACGCCTGACACTATTGATCTGACCCTGCAGCCACCCCCACCAGCCACTGAGCCTGTCCCACCAAAGAGAGACGGTGCCATCTCAGACAACACCAAGGCAGCCCTCAAAGCTGCCCTGCTCAAGTCCTTGAAGAGCCGGATCAGCGGTGCCTGTGGGTGCAGCAGCTGGCTGGGGAGGGGGACAGGAGGGGGAGGATTCTGACTAGGCTGCAGGCTCTTACCTCCCCCTGCCCACCTTCTGTGCAGATGGCCCCAGCGCACCACTGGAGGTCCCTGAGCCTAGGAAACCAGTGACTGCCCAGGAGCGCCAGCGAGAGCGGGAGGAGAAGCGGCGGCGGCGTCAGGAGCGTGCCAAAGAGCGGGAAAAGCGGCGGCAAGAGCGAGAACGCAAGGAACGGGGGACTGGGGCATCTGGGGTCCCATCCACTGACCCCCTAGCTGGACTAGTGCTCAGTGACAATGACCGTAGCCTACTGGAACGCTGGACTCGCATGGCCCGGCCACCTGTCCCAGCCCCCACCCTTGCCCCCACCCAGGCCCCAGCCCCT